CCGAGATTAATATAAGAGGATTAATAGTACTACTCATACCAACAGAGGTGCATCTCCTTTTAAGGGAGCTCATCACCCAAGAACTCCAGAGTTAAGCGTGCTTGCACGGGAGTAGTCTTGGGATGGGTGACCCCCTGGGAAGTTTCTCAGGGCGCGCATGAGTGAGGAAAAAGTGTGCGGTAAAGGCTCGTGGTGGTTTGTGGGGACAGTACTAGAGGTCTAGAGTAACTACCTCGAGTCCGTGTGGGGCCCCGGGGTGTTACATACACTTCTTTGGATTCAATCGAAGGTTGAATTTCTGCATGATGGCGAATATCTCCCGGAGGTCCTCGGCGTGGGTGTTTGATTTCTTACTCTTGACGATCATATCGTCAACATAGGCCTCCATGGTGCGTCCTAAGACTGCTTGGAAGACTCTCACCACCATACGGATGTAGGTGGCGCCTGAATTCTTGAGGCCGAAGGCCATCACAAGATAGCAAAAGATGCCTTCGGGTGTCATGAAGGCTGTTTTTTAGGCATCCTCTTCATGCATATAAATTTGATGGTACCCGCGGAAGGCGTCGAGGAATGACATGATTTCGCACCCCGCGGTCTCATCTACCAGCTGATCAATGTTTGGTAGAGAGAAGGGGTCCATTGGGCACGCCTTATTCAAGTCAGTGTAGTCCACACACATGTGGAAGGTGGGTGGCTTCTGTGCTAGTACCACATTAGCCAACCACGAAGGATATTTCACCTCCTTGATGTGTTTGATGTAGAGGAGCATGGTGACCTCCTTTTTGACAAAGTCCCTTCTCTCGGCTGAGAGGGGACTTCTTCTCTGTTGTATTGGTTTGGCCGAAGGGTCTACCGCCAGGCGGTGAGTGATGACCCTTCGGTGAATCCCCGGCATATCCTCCGGTCCCCATGCAAAAACAACCGAGTAGGCACGGAGGGCTTCAGTTATGCCGGTCTTCAGGTCTTCGGGGAGCTTGGCTCCAATCTTCAAGACTCTCTCCGGCTTGGCCGGATCGAGCGCAAAGTCTTCTACCTCCTCGGCTGGTTCTGCCCTCGGCCTCTTTTCTTCTTCCTCCACGGTTCCGGTGATGGTGTCTACCCGGAACTCAGTTTTACTAACCTTCTTTGTGATTTGAAGGTAGCAGGCGCGGGCTAGTTTTTGGTTCCCCTTGAGTACCCGATACCTCCCTCAGCGGGGAATTTGAGACATAGGTGCCTCATGGAGATGATGGCCTCTAGATCCCCAAAGGCAGGCCAGCCGAGGATGATGTTGTGGGCGCAGTCAATGTTGACGACGACGAACTCCACCTCGAGCTTGGCTCTATGGAGCCCGTCGCCAAAAAGTACCAGGAGGGTTATGACCCCCTCAGAATCAATAGTGTCTCCGGTGAATCTGGACAGAGGGGTCTTGATGGGCCGAAGGGACTCCCTCTCCAGGTGTAGCTCCTTGAAAGTGTTGAGGTACTTTACGTTGACAGAGCTACCTGTATCAACGTAAGTTCTGTGGATGATGGTGTCATTGATCTCGCTTTGGATTACCAGGGCATCCCTTTGAGGCGAGGAAACCGGGGGGAGATCAGCGTTGGTGAATGTAATGGGTTCCTCCCCCAGCCGCTTCACGAGGGGCGTATGAGTGACTTCCCCCACATAAAGCGATTGAGCCCACTTCTTCCTTTGGCTGGTGGAGTCCCCCCCCCCCCCCCCGTGTTTCCCCCGGTGATCATGTGGATGTGGCGCTTCTTCTCCTGGTACTGGTTGTACTCCTCCTCTTCGTCGAGATTCCCGATTTCTCTTTTCTTACCCTTCGGGTCACCGAGGGGGATGGTGTTCGGGTTGACCCAGGCATTTGCTCTCATCGGTGGCCCTCGTGGGGGCCCTTATTGCTGAGGGCTTTGGATAAATTGGGACAGATGGCCCGCCTGTATCAACTTCTCAATGGCCGCCTTCAGCTGATGACAGTAATCGGTCATGTGCCCTTGGGTTCGATGGAACTGACAGTAAGGATAATTGGGGTTGATGGCATATACCTTCGGGGGGGCGCGAGAGTCCCGATCGACGAGGCCCCTTTCCTTGGTGAAGTCGAGGATGACGCTGACGGGGTGTGTTAAAGGCGTCCGAGGGTGCTCCAAGAGAATGGGCTGGGCCCAAGCCTTCGGGTTGCCCTTGTAACCTCCCCCGGGCTTGGCTTGGCCATGTCGGGGGTGATCACCGGGGGGTTCCGAGCCTTTGGACTGATTTGGGGGAGCCCCTGGCCCCCTGTTGCCTTTGTCATCTGGCTGAGGGCGCTGCTGATCAGGGTTGTGATGACATTTTTCCACCTCCTCGGCCTCGGCGTACCGGTCCCCCCCCCCCGCTGTAGGGCCCTTATGTAATCGCGGGGAGGCTCGATAATGAGGCTCCTTGAAAAGTTCCTGGGGCGGAGGACTGTTTGAAGGAGAGCCAGGAGGGTACCGTCGTCAGCGTCGTCAACTTTATCTGCCTCCGTCCTCCAGCGTTCCAAGAAGTCCCAAAGGGTCGCCTCCTTTCTTTGTCTCACCGTCAGCAAGTGGGAGAAGTGTTTCCTTGACCGGCGCCTCCCCGCAAACTGCGTCAAGAAACTTTGGACGAGTTCCTGCCATGAATCGATGCAGCCTTCAGGCAATCGGTTGAACCATTCGTACGTTGATCCCTCTAAGGTGGAGAGGAACCAACGGCACAAATATTCGTCTGATGCCCCCACCATCATCATATTGTTCTGATATCTGCTGTACTGCTCCTGGGGATTTGTCTTTCCTTCATAGGTTCTGATAGGTTGTCCCCGGTATTTTTCCGGAATTCAGGCCGCCAATACCCTTGGGGTAAATGGTGTCCTAGTTCGGAGTTGGATGACGGGTTCCCTGGAGCCTTCGGCTATTTTCTTTTGCATCTCCTCCATCTTGGCCAGCACGGCGGTGTATTTGGGGTCCGCCTGGGGGCGGAAGTTGTTGTGTGCGCTTAACGGGCCTCCATCTCATCAAGGCGGCACTGGAGGGCTTCGATGATTTTGTCCCTATGATCTTTTGGGAGGGCCTCCGCCCCCTGCGAATGAACGCGGGTCGAGTGGGCCTGGTTGATTTGATGTCTTGCGTCATCAGCATGAAGGGGTGTCTTGCCCTTCTCTTGAGGGGGACGCCTCTCGCCTGCCCTCGATACTGACCCCCCGCTCTCTTGGGGTCTTTGGAGCGCCCTGCCACCGAGGCGGTCTTGGACCCCTCGGCGATCCTGCACTCCTCTGAGCCTCTCGAGGGCGGAGGTCTGAGGCCTTTCTTTGTTCGCATCGCGTTGGTCCCGGGATTGGACTTCCTGGGAGGCAGTGTCTTGAGCCATGACCCCTTCATCGTTCCCAACTCGAGGGTACGGTTCACGAAGGGGGCGGACGCGGGAGAGCTATAGCGTTCTCCCCGATTTGTGGTTGAAGGCGGAGAATGCCGATTGTACGTCAATGGTGAGAACCGGAGGGCTCACTTGATTTTCACTTCGGTCCCTCCTTCGGGTTTCGATGCCAAGACGGGCATCAGGAGCGTTTTGCTGAAGCTGAAGGCGCAGGTCAACTGCACCCTGTTCCAACTCAGTGATGACCCCGCCCTCGAGAGCCTTGTTGGAGGCTCCGAGGGCGTTGACTTCACCGAGGGCCAGGTTGTTGTCCTCAAGGTTCTTGAACTGAGCCCAAGTGGTTCTTCCCATTTTGGTAGGTGTTTTGAGCTGAAGGGGAGGGTTTCTTGCTTGATTGTTCGACCTCTCAACGAGAGCACCAAATGATGGATAGTGTACCCTGGGGGGTAGCTTATCTGAGAGGTTACTGCGGGGAGTAACTTAGAGAGAAGTCAGAGCATGTAAGTAAGAGAGAGAGTGAATTCGAATATATGAGTTTGTATTCAAGGCGTGGTTTACAATGGGGGAAAGGGGTGCTATTTATAGTAGCAATAAATGCTAGATAGGAGCACGTGTCAACAATCTGGTGGTCGAGGGGTCACTCAACTGGGGTGGCGCTGACACTCGCATGTGGCCACATTAAATGCGGTGTTTGGATGCGACGTTTGTACTTGGTACGTCGATCCAGAGCATGTGGAGAGGAGATCCAGTCGAGGAAGATGGGTTCGGCTGTAGATGACAGTCCGAAGGCTCTGCGTACCGAGGGCCTCATATTGCTGAGGACTCGGTTTTCAAGCCATCTTTTCCTATGACGTTGCTGAAACCAATTCTGCCACTGACAGCCTTCGGCTATGGGGCCGAAGACACCCCTTCATGTATCGTGGGCTGCTTAGAGCTCCATTCTGCTGGGCTTGGCCCATCTTGGGCCTGTTGGGCCTGAATGTAATAGTGAAGTATGTGGGCCGGGGTCCCTGGGCCATATACTCCATCATTACTATTTGTACAATTATATTTACAATTAGTCTTACTTAGGGAAGGAGGCAGGTAAGGTACAAACTGTACTTATTGTACAAACGTTTGTACGATGCATCTTTACGTAATCTGTATTGCACGTTGAGGTTCAAAGTGTTGCATACTATTCGGTCATAAAATAGCAATTGTTTATTAACATTCAAAGAGTTGCATCCTATAAAAATTGACTTTTAGTATAAGAGCCCATTTGGTAGCACGAAAATCGGCTGATTTGGCTGATTCTGCTGAAATTTATGAAGTTCTGGCTGAAGTGGCTGCATTGGCTGATTCTGCTGGTTTAAAAAAAAATACTTTTAAAATATATTTTATTAATAAAATAAAGAAAAAATTATATGTAAAAATAGCTAAAATGGTCATCTACAGTAACTTCAGCCAATACACCCAGAAAAGTAACTACAACCTTACTTTTTCTGCTTATTACACAATTCAGCGCGCGAAACCAAAAGTTACGTGTTTGGTGAAAAAGTTGACTGATAAGCCTGATAAGCCGATAAACAGTGTTACCAAACGGTCTCTAAAAATGATACTGTGCTTTTCAGCTTTTAGATCAATTCATCGACTAACCAAGACAAGTTTATAGTTTATAACTTAAGGAGGTTTGTATCCGGAACATTAACACAAAATCTTATGTTTCCGTACCATATAGAACGATCAATGCCGTATAATGGATAGAACTTCATCACAAGATTGATGGTACATCAACAAGCCCAATGAATACATAAAAATAGATAGCCGTAGTTGGTAAAAATCAGATCTTTATTTACATTATGATCTAAGCAATTATCTTCAAGATATCAACATAAACTTTTGAGAGATTAAAAATTGGGATTTGCACATGTGAGCCCTGCAAGTAGAGAAACCTCAATGTTCATCTATTCAAGTTTCCAATTTGCAGGAAGATCAAACTTCACAAGATCAAATCTAACAAATGGCTATAAGAAATTAAAGATGTGACCCTTTATTTCTAGTGATCACCAGGAACTTTGTACGTATCAGCATTGATTTCTGTCAACCACAATCCAGGAAATAGGCTCTGCAATTTGAATCCATTTGGGAAAAAATCAGATGAATTTCACTGGGAAAAAATCTCAATTTAAAGATTGAGCAATGTAAAAGTTGATGAAAAGGGACTTACATCCAGATTTTTCTGAATATGTTTAGCTCGTTTCTTGGGCCGGCGGTTGGGTTTGCGGCCTATTATGGCAACGAAGTCTTCCTCGATCTCTCGCCGAGTAAGGGAAACGGAAAACTTCGCTCTCTCCCGCTTCAACGCGACGGAAGAAACTCCGCCGGAGGCGGCCGTGAAGTGGTCGACGGCGGTGACCAGGGATTGGTCGGCGCCGGCTGTCGTTGAGTGGTCGGCGGCGGCGGTTGGGTCGACGGTAGGTCTAGACCTCATGACTCTTAGAGATTCGTTTCTGTTTTTAAATGGCAAACCATAAGGCGTTGCCGGCAACGCAACATCAACTTTCAAACCAGAGTTCGATTCGCCGGAGACGGCGGCGACTATGTTAGGATGCTTATTTCTCGACCGTCGAGACCGCAAGTTCCATGGTCTGGCGGTTTCCGATGGACCCACTGACGTAATAGTCTCCGACACCGTCGTCGGTACCGGCGGTCGTTCCCCACCCTCCTCCGCCACAAGCCGCCGCTCTCCATCCCTCAGCCCCACTCCCAAGATTGCCTCCTTCATCCTGTTCGTCGCCGCCTGGAGATCAAGCAACAGTTTCTCCCTCACGGCGGCGATCCCGTCTTCTACTTCCGCCCGGAATTCTGAGCCGCGCTCCGTCCGCCCATTCTTGGAAACACCCATGCTCAGAATCCGTTCATCGGATCCGTGATTCTGCCACCCCAAACCAGCCTCGGGCCTTCGCCCTCCGAACGACTTCTCCGGCGACGTTCCATTCGATCGCCGGTGAACGGCGTCGGTTTTTCCGTTGGGGAACTTACGGTTGCCCCACCTCAAACCACAGGGAAGCGTAAAATTGTGCGGCGGCGGCTTCGATCCGTGAGAACCCATTGCCATCCAAATCTTACTCGTTTTTCCTCGGAGTCTCTCTGTTTCTTACACTCTCCCTCCTTCCAGACGGAGATTAATTAATATAGGGTTTCTTAAATAAAATTTTATTTATCGTATTTTTTTCTTTTCTTTTTTTATTATTTTTTGTAATTTTTTGAGAGCAGAATATATAAGATTTATGTGGGCATAAGCACGTTGGACTAGAAAAGAAAAATTTATACATATCAAATCATTTCAATTCCAACTTATTACTCATTATACGTGTGATGATAAATATACTAATACTCCCTTCAGTCTTAATGAAGTTTACACTTTGACTTCACACATATTAAGGAAATAAATTTGACTTTACTGTAGAGTACACTGTTTGGCACTGTTTGGCACTGTTTGACACTATTTGGCACTGTTTGGTGTAGATTTGTTTGTCAAATAAGTCAAATAAGGAAGTGTAAAATTTAATATCGGACGACCCAAAATGGAAAGTGTAAAGTTAATTAAGGATCGGAGGAAGTATGAATTATCAAGTACGTAGTATATATTACTAAATCATACTACCTTGGTCCCACTGTATTTGGGACAAGAGGTTGTGTCACAACATTTAACAAAAAGTGTAATTGTGTAGTTGATATTGAATTGATAAAGTGTGAATAAAGTAAGAATGAATTGTAACCACTCAAATATTACCAAATATGGTATGAGACAAACTTAATTTGACGGACAAGAAAGGTAAAACGGGACAAACTTAGGGGGACGGAGGGAGTAATAAGTAAAATCAAATCAAACTAAACTGAAATACATATTTGAAAATCAAATTTAAATTAATTGAACTTTGAAAACAACCCTAATTGAATAGTTATGTTAAATTTCGGTCTTACTTGGCAGAGTTTTCGTGGCTTTTAGTTATCCGAGTATCATCTCACTAACACTTTTGGAGTTTTGATAATGGATTTTGAGTTTTCATTTTTAGCCATTTGACTATTGCGGGAAAGACACTTTTGGTACCTGTTAAAATTTTTGATATTTTGCTTTACAACTTTCATAAAAGTGACAATTTTGATTTTTCAACTATTATAATAGTCAGATTTTTAGTCCTTCAGTTATTGTGTCAAAATCATAGTGAAAGAGTCAAATATGTGAAATTCATAATACTTAGGGGACTACGTGTGGAGAATTTTAAAGTCGATGACTAAAAGTTGTGTCAATAATCAAGGACTAAAAATGAAACATTTGAAAGTCGGGTATTAAAAGTGTCACAGACACCATAATTGAGCGACCGGTGACAAAAACTCTTAGGATATATGTTCTCTTTAGGACTGTTTTCGATCTCAAACCAAACCAGACTAGATCAGATCACACTATACCAGACTTAAACAGACCAGACCAGACCAAACCAGACGTAAATAGACCAGACCAAACCAAATTTGGACAGTTATAAAATACACAAAGACCAGACATTTACCAGACCAGATCAGTTCAAACAAGGCCAGACCAGACTAGGACATATTTAAACAAACCAAATTAGACCAGATCAGACGAAACCAGACCAAACCATCAAATTATGGTCCAAAAGAAAACATCCTTACTTGACCCATCTTCTTCTATTCCTTGTCCGTGGGTGGGCTAAACAGTTTGATTCAACCGAGCAAACTAATTTGAGAATTAGTATTTTAGTTTGGTTTGGGTTCACTAAAGTAAATTGTTTGACAAAACTCACAAAAGTATACACAAATTGAATGGTTGTCTCAGATTTGTCAAATTGTAATATTTATTATTCCCTCCGTCCCGGAAAGGCCATTCAAAATGATTTTCTTGATCAATGGTAATCAACTTTGATCAATGATATTTTTTAATACTACCTCTGTCCCACTAAGATCGGGACAAGAGAAGGTGGCACAGTTATCAAGAAAAGTGGGTTTGTGTGGTTGATATTAAATTGATAAAGTAAGAATAAAGTAAGAATGATTTAGAGTCACGCAATCTTTACCAAATTTGGTATGAGACAATCTTAGTGGGACTTCCCGAAAAAGTAAAATGGGACAATCTTAGCGGGATGGAGGGGGTATGAAATTATTTTGAATATGAAAATTGTATCAAAATGTTCCACATTCAAAAAAATCATACCATTCAATAAAAATCATAAAACTATAAAATTGATAAATTATACTATCGGCAAACATTTTTATGATGTAAGTAAATAACCTAAATGTGAAAAATATATTTTTAACATATGCCGTTTTAACTTTTATGTATTTCATATATTTATTATGACAAAGCTAGCTAATACTAACTCCGTTCTTAAATAAATGCAACATTTTGACTTTTACACTATTCACATGTTCTACTTTGACTAAGTTTTATTTATTAATGTAATAATATTATTTTATGAAAAAAATATTGTTAAACTTGTCTCATTGTAAATTTTCATAATCTAATTTTTAAAATTTTTTTACTAATACAAAATCATTTATATTAATGGTCAAAGTTGTGTCTCGGCAAGTGTGAAATGTTGACCGTTGCATTTATTTAAGAACGGAGGAAGTATAACATATACAAAGTATGTTATATGTTGTTTTCGGTATAAAAAATGATTGGTGATTACAATAGGACATTATATTTATCTCATTATCAGTTAAGGTAGAGTATAATATTTCACTTTACATGATTCACTTAAATAAAAAAATATGAATTTTACAATATATTTTGCCATCAAATGTTTTTGTTTAATTTTTTGAATATTTTATGAGATATTATAAATGTTAATCAACTCTAAACTAATCTTTTGTGAAATGTGAATCTTTTTTATTGTAAATGATAAGATTCTCGACTTTTTCATGTCCTTAATCCAAGTAAGACAAATAAATGTTAAATTATACTCCGTAGTATTGTATTTTTCTGTTTTTGGCTTTTTAATTCGTTTCACATTTTATTTGAATATTAAATCCAACAAGGTGAAGTGGATTACAATGATCATTTAAACGAAATAATCCACCTCACCTAGTTGTGTTTGGTGTACACCTTTTATTGTGAACTCTATTTTACTTGTGTACAGAGAATATGTATGATTTGGATGTTTAAATGAATTTTCTGTTTATATTGATAAAAATGGGAAGTTTGTATAAAAGATGTACATTAAAAGTTGTACAAAAAGAATGTTCATAACAGAAATATTTTATCGTAAACATAATGACAAAAATGGGAATGTTCATATTGTATGTTCACAGTAATAAAAAAATCTCCATTCGGAAAATCGAAAAATTTTAGGGCCTGTTTACTAACAGAGATATTTTCCGGTTTTCCAGAAAACTGGAAAACTAGAAAACAGAAAACAGGAAACGTGTTTACCAAAGAAAATTGCTGGAAAACTGGAGAAAGGAAAACAGAAAAACGCGTTTACCAAACCGTTTTCCAAAATGAAAAAAATGAGACACATCTCTCTTTTCCTTAATGATTTGGAGAAGTGACTTTTACTAGTTTTCAAAATTTGGAAAACGCAGATGCTACAGGCTGCTGCAATGAATTTGCATATTTACACCTAGAGGTGGGTCCGGTCTCGCTCCGATGTCGATTCCATTCTAGTACCTCCATCCTCGTACCTTACCCCTTACCCCTACCCAACCCTACCCTACCCTACTCACCCAACCCCCACCCCGCATACCTCTTTTCCCTACAATGACCCTACCCCGACCCCCTACCACATGCCCCTACCTCGGTCCCACCCCAATCCACCCTACCCTACCACCACCTCTACCACCTCAACCCCACCCCGACCCACCCATCCTACCCCCACCTCGTATATTATCCCTTACCACTACCTTACCCCTTCCCACATGCCCCCTACCTCGGCCCCACCCTATCGCCATCCTATCCCAACTCCCTACCCTACCCCTACCTTACCCCAACCCCAACCCTACTCACTGGCCCCACCCTTACCCCTAACCACCACCCTAACACACCCACTACCCCACCCAACCCCGTACCCCTAGACCTTACCACCCCACCCCCGACCATACCCCTTACCCCACCCCCACCCACCCCCAATTCCTTCCCTACCCCGACCCTTATGAGTAGGTATGGGTGGGTATGAAGGGTTTTAGGGGAGTATGGGTAGAGTGTAAGATCGTGGTAAGGGTAGGGGTCAAGGGTGTGGAATTGGGTGTAAGGTGGGGGTACGAGGTATAGGGGCAGGGTAGGGGTTAGGAGTATGGGTACACGTACGAGGTGATTGACCCCACATACTATATTATATATTTGTGTTCATGAATGTTTGTGTGTCTATATATGTATATGGTTATTTTGGACATTTTAATGTTAAACGGTGTTTTATACACTAGTAAAAAACAGGCTTATAGTGACGCTTTTATAGTGACACTTTTCTGTTATAATGACATCAGTGATATAGAAGTGTCACCATTTTCTAGCACAAAAATATCGGTATCACATAGTGACACTTACGATTACTTTTTACGGAGTATTTGAACTATTCTACTTATGGGCCTTATGGGCCTGCTGATTCCTTCTAACATTTCAACCCTTTTCCACTAGGTCTTTCCCTTCATTCTACGTACAACTGGGTACAAGCTCTAACTCTCCTTCTCGAGCTCCATCGGTGGCCGTCATTCTTGGTCCTGCCGCGTGCTCGCTGGGTCTCCTTCGTCAATGATTATCGTCGCTAGTGCTCATTGGGTCTCCTTCGTCTTTGGATTTATTTCAGGTATGTAATTTTCCCTTCATCTCCTCCCTGAGAGAAGATAACCGGTGTGGCTCTTGGTGTGACCGTGGAGCTATGGAGGAGTAGATACCCGGTGACTATCTTGACCGCTTGGAGAAGATATACGGATGGTTGCCGCTGCGATTCCATCTATGGCTGGAATAAGGAGCCATCTGGCCACCGGGACCGGCCATTACTGGAAGGTGGCTAGTTTGGCCTGCCATCGCAGGGACGGCGCCGCCTGGTCGCCGTTCTTCCCCGAGTTGCAATTTAATTATTCAAATTGAGGTTCATCCTTTTGCCATGGATATTATATTTTCTTGATTTTGTTGTCCAAAGAACATATCTCCGGACATTGTTTGGCTTAAATTTGCTCTGGATTTTTCCCCTTTTCCTCTCCACATCTCCAATCATAA